ACATTATATCAAAGAATTGTTTCTAAAATGACAAAAATATGACCTTATTTCAAAATTATGCCAAAATATGCTGTAAAACCAATAAAACTTTAAAATATGCATTTATATGCACAATAAAAACGATATAATTTCAATAAGAATGACTGAAAACATGCATAATTACATTTAAAAATAGGAATAAACCCTAGGAAAAAAATATGACATGTCATAGAAATCCGGGCCCCAGTCATGAATGTAAATAATACGGGCATTTATTAAGGATAGAAAATGCCCTGTAACTGCTAACAGAGGCATTGTTCCTACCTTTTAAAAACAGAGACTATTGCTGATTGCCTCCATGCAGAAAAGGGGCACGTGGTAGCGTAGTCGAATGAGGCACTATGCTACAAGCAGGAAGGTCGCGTGTTGGAACCCAGATGAGGTAATTGGATTTTTTTAATTTATCTAATCCTTTCAGCCACACTATTGCCCTGGGGCCGACTCAGACTCTAAGAGAAATGAGTACCAAGAATCTTTCAGGGAAAGGGGGGGTAAAGGGCTGACGGATTGCACTTAAGGCAACTCACCGCCATCTGTGAGCCAACGTGTCTAAAAAATGTGGGATCCTTGACGGCCTGTTAGAGGATAGCTTTGCCTTTCTTTATATACTGACACATTGCAAGTATGCGGTAGCATAATGTGACATCTGCGTGGAAATATGTATGTTTATACCCCGATCAAAGTGACTTAAAATACGAGAAAGTCGTAACTTTCATTTTGTATTTAACCTGAACTCAGAATGTAAAACATGAATGAAATATATTCAATAAAATCATAACAAGAAGAATGGCATCTGCTTCTGTGGAACCGTGATCAGGCTGTTTCAATAGGAACACATTTTTTGGGAGCGTTTCAGTTTTGTCTTTAAACTGTTAGTCACATCTCAATACACACACCACGCCGGAGTAGCATGTGCGATATTATAGTGTTGATCCTCAGAGCGAGGAATTTCGTGTGAGATCTTAGGTTTACTCAAAAGTCGAGTACAGAGTTTACAGTCTTCTAACAAGTGACGTCATCTACTCTGATAGAAAGCTACTAATAAATAATAATCTTAGAATGAATAATTTAACGAAGGGCGCCTGAAGGGGAGGAAATTTTTTATCTACTCCTCCTGGACTTCTAGAAGAGAAGAAGAATTGAAAAGAAAAGAGGATATATTCAAAATATTTAAAGATAAAGCTATCCCTGTAACAGGCCACGGAGTTCCATATGGCAGTGAAACGTCGTGGCTCCCATATTTACTAGAAATTCGGCTCACAGATGGCCGTGAGGGTGTCAGCCTTACGCGCTGGCTACCCTTTACCCGCAGGAAGATTCCTGGTACTCACCAGACAACTCGCTTCCTTGGGTTTGAGCGGCCAGATGTTATCGTCCAGAAACCACTACATGGTACACGTATGACGAGATGGTGTACCGTCTCAGCACACGGTATATTAGGCCCCTATTTCATTGAGAATGAGGAAGGCAATGCTTTTACCGCCACCCAAGAACGCTACAGGGACATGGTGATCGGAC